CCTTAAATCATAGAGAAATTGAAAAATCATCAAATTTACTCCTCATATAATAGATATATAATTTATTCAAATTATGCTATAAAATATAGAAGGTAAGATATATTGGTGAACTATAAAGTTAATATGCTCGAAATCAGTAAAGAGAACTAGATTTATATTCGTGTTACGCACAAGTCTGTATTAACAATTTATCTTAATTGTATATTAACTTTAAGTATAAATAATTATTATAATTTTTTTATTTTTGTGAAAATTTATTAAAAATATTATTTTATATTTTTTTACTTATGGTTTTCTAACTTAATAATTTAAAATAACGAATTCTTAGATATTTATTGTTTGCTATTATAAATGTATAAATTGGGTTTATACATATTAATACTGTTTATAAAATATAATTTTAATATTTTAAATACACTATAAATTTCTTGACGCATATAAAATGTCAATACATTTTTAAAAAAAAATTATCATACATTTTATCTTATAATATTGCTAGATTAATCTGTTTCATAAATTTTAATGTGCAATTGTTTTTTCTCATCCATTTTACTTTTCTTATCACACATTTTAATCATACATCAAAATTACCTATCATGATGCTTGAGTAATCTTATGTAAAACGTATGATGTAATTTTTTACATGTTTTGATTTGTGGGTTTAAATTTTATGTAAGCACTCTCAATGATTTATTAAACGATGTACATCTTTAACTTTTCATTTTTGTTTCTATTATAAATATATTTTCCGAAATATCTTTTGTTCAATCAAAGTTATATGGGATCAGTTTACTTTTTATGTATTATATATGTGGAGTCTATATTTTTATTAGATTGTAGATTTATAAGAAGTCATCAATATATAGTTCGGTTTTAAAGATCATGTAAACTACATTTACAACAATGTTTGAATAAACAAATTTGTTAATTTCATTTGATTAAAAAAAGAGAATTTAGGTGGTATACACACGGAAAATCTGGTAATTGGTAGAAAACCCAGCACACTATTAATTTTTATTTAATACAGAAACACCCCTATAAGACTAAATCAACTCTATCTTGTACTTATAGATTCTATGTCAGAGCCTATAAACTAACACATTATACACACCACATGATGTACTTCACTTCATTTAGAAAATACACCAAGGATAAACAAAAAGGTCAACAATTACTTTTCTTTTAGTTTATTAACTGTGTTTGTAAGCATAACCTATCGTTTTTATTTCGTAATAAACTCAGCAGGTTGAAGAGATTAAAGATATCATTCCTCATATTAAAGAGATTGTTCCAAAGGTTATTGAGTTGGACACCGAGTCAGAGTCTACTTGCAATGATTCGCAAACAAAGGAAGACAAAGAGCAAGATGTTTCTGAATCAATCCACCTCTGCTGTCACTAGATACTGTGTAAACCCAACACACGTTAAAGCGCTAGATGAGGAAACAATGGTTAGTATCTGAGCGCTTAGTTACTATTGCTAAAAGTTTTGTTACTTACTTATGAACAACTATACTAGTCTTACTAGTTAGAAATTCAGAACATAATTTCTAAGAGCATATAGTATTGCTACATTGGGGAGTTAACAATAATATTATACCGTCACTTTTTTGATTCTGCTTGATTATCCTAAGTAACCTTACTGGAATCTCTTTTTTTTGTGCAAGTTGGAATCTCTTAAGTGTTGCACTTGTGGGGGTTTAGGTCTATTACTTATAGTTGACGCTATTTCAACACGTAACTTCTAAGCTAAATGCTGTAGAGGTTAAAGTCTATGTCGAGTAGCTATCGTAGCCGATATTTTTACACGTAACTGCTAAAAATTTTCTGGTAACTATCATAACATGTACGTGCTAAGATTTATATTAGTGATTTCATATTTACTTACGGCTGATTTTTAATAATTATCTGAGGTGTTACCCTATCTGATGGATTATTTCACTGGCTGCATCAGTAGAGGCCTACGCCTACTAGTGACCACTACATCGCATAATAACATTCAGTGCATAAAAGTGTTCATGAATTTGATTGTTTGTATTTTCCGGTTGAGATATATGGAATGATGAAGTTGAGGACGACACTGTTGACAATGTTGTCCGGCTAATTAATGAAAGATACATTTTTGTAAAGAAAAAAAATGTTTGGTAGAGTAATCACTACAGCTACCTGGCTCGTATTAGTGCTGGCATTTATTTAGTTACATGTTTTATCTATGTTTTAGAAGCTAATTTTTCATGTCATCTACATTCATGTACTTCTAACACATTCAACAATACATTTATCCGTTAACAAAAATCTTATACCAGTTTTCACACTTCTATCTTATCACTAACTTTATCAGCATATATACAAAATATTTTAGCAATTAATTACCGAGTTAACAGTGAAATATATGTTTCATTACGTGTTACCAATATAATGTTTTAATTAACAATTAAGATAATTGTTAGTCACTAATGTCATGATGACGAAAGTGGATTTATCTTTTGTCTTACCCTTTAGATGAAATTGCTGACATTTAACTTTCATTAAACACCAGTGACAAGTTTTCTCATCAACACAAATACTTACTAACTGTAGCAGCTAACTATTTAATTAACAGCCATGATTGTGTAATAAGTATGAATAATGTAAACATAGTTTATCATTAGTAGCCAACCTGTTACGTTACACATCCAAGATATTATAACGGTTAATTTTAGTGTTATCTTCTATTGAATATGTTGGTTCACGAGATGTACAAAGTCTCTTAAGATTTGTTGAAATCGCGAATACAGAAGATCGTCATTTTTTTCTTCGACCTTAGTAACAAATATTCACTGCAAGGAAAGATAGAATATGATGAAATAAAAGTATTTGCTTTGAAACTATATTAAGATTTATCATTAGATATTTTTGGAAAAACAATAGAATAAAAATGATTATTTAAGAAGAATTTCTAATACACATAAAAGCCGTATAATAAATCTGTTTCTTAGGAGTAGAGGAAGAAAAAAGGAATGGTGAGATGTCTGAAAGAAAGAGGATGGGGAAGAGAATGTGTCAGAGAAGATAAATAATAAACTATTAAAGAATAGATTTTGTGGTTTAGAATCAGTTACCCGTAATAGTAGACAGAGAACTACAGTCACCTAATAGAGAGTTATAGTCACCTATATAGCAACATGGCGTAGAGGAAAGGGCAATATAGGAAATTCATGACAAAATTGCAACAGTGATATGAAGTTTTAAGCGTATTCATGTACTTTCCTAATATTGACTTCAATTATGTATATACAGCAAATTATCTCTTAAAAGAAACTGTTTTTTAGCAACTAAAAAACTGTTTAGGTTCATAAATAAAATGCATATTGAAAACATGTGTCTCACATAAAGTGGGTTTAATATTTTTGTACATGTGTTGAAAACCAAAAAAATATTGTTTTAATATTTCTTAAAAATTTATATAACATATTATAAATTTAGATAATTATTTATAGTCTTTAAAACTACTGTGGAAAAAAAAAATTAAATTTCATGTTAACTTTTGAATATTTTTTTTGTCAATAATTTTTTAATATTTATTAGAGTATCAATATTCATATCCATTATATATGTTGTATTTTGGTATATATGATATTTTTATGTTTTGGCATATTTTAGGTTGTAATTTGTTTTCTTAATCTCTGTGACGTTCTTTCCAGAGAATTTTCATGTATATAAAATTAATTATTTTAATAAATTTTATTATTTTTGTTTACATTAGTTAATACTACTTTATTTTTAAATATATATACAATTTTTTGAAAACTTTGATACTTTTCAATTTTTACATATACTAAAATTTAACCTATGTGCAAATTTTTTTTTCATTTTATAGATGTACTAGATTCTGACCTGCCCTTTAAAGGGCGGATATATGTTTTGTTTTACATATTCCTTTCGAAATTTAATTTTTATATTTATGTTTTTATTTGTAATTTTATTGGAATAAAATATTTTTTTATTAGTAAGAGATTTTGATAATTGTATTGAATATGTAATGTCGCATAACTATGTACTTGTGCCGTCGTCATTTCACATGTAATTTATTTTAAACAATTGTTTTTAAATAACAAATTACATTTGCAATTTTTAGCAAGAAAATACTAATTAAATAGATGATATTATATGTTTTCACAAAATTTTCATGATTTGATTTCAATATATAATGATAATAACATTATTACTATGCATATTATTTTTCATGAAATTTAAAATAGGTTTTCTAAATTTTAATCCAATGTAAATAAAAAGGCTCACTTTTGTTATGTGATCTTATGCCATGGGTGTTTTTACATGTGATTTGAGCTTGTTTCAAATTTTAGTTTGTTGTTTGTTTGTTCTTAGTTATAACTCATTTACAATGAAATATAACATTATATAAATATTAATTTGAGATGATAGAGGATAATATAATCATCGCACGAAAAATAGAAATAATTTTTTTAGGCATAACTTTCCCCGTTTATAAGAATAGTTAAAGAATTGGTTCCTATAATTGTGGAAGAAAACATAGTATATAAATGAAAAGTAATAATAATTGTGTAAAATATTTGATATTTGTTGGTAAAATATATTGGACTAAACTTTTATCAACTGGTCATGTTCTTGTTTTAATATAATACTAGATTTTGACCCGTGTTTGAGAAGCGCGGGTTTTGTTTTGGTTGTAAGAAAATATATCAAATGATTAGATTTGTATTATGTGATAGTTTTATATTTGAATGTGATGTATATTTAGCGTTTTAGTTGAGTCTTTTAATTGGATTATGCATAACCGGGTCAGTTTGTGATTGAACCGAGAATCCGAAAAACCTTAATCCGAAAGACATGAACACAGATAGCCGAGTAACATAAAAAACATTAGGTTCAGTTTAATACATCAAAATATTAAAAAAGACAGGTTTTCTGAACCAGACAACAGTTAAAAAGTTCATAGGAACAACACCTTCAAACATAAGAGATGAGGACAGAGATCACTTAACGCCACATTTGTGGCTCTCCTAGCTTTTCCCAATCGAGATTGGGAACCTTCACATCAGAAAGACGGGCATGAGCAAGAGCAAGTTCCTTTTCCAGCTTGTCCTTAACATGGTTCATAACGCCATCGTTGAAGAGCTCTTCAAAGAGTTTAAGTTTACCAGCAATGCAATACACCTCCACCTCAGCATTATACTTCGCAACGACGGCTTCATGGAATACATGTTAAGAATTCTTAGGTAATGATTAGTCCTATCATTCATTCCAGACGTGTAAGCCTTTATGCAACATTGATCCATGAAACTGGTGCGCAACCATACTTATATCGTGATCTGCATGTTCATATAAATAGAAATTCTGTTAGAAAAAGATGATGTATAACACCAACAAAAAATTTAACTCTCAATGAAGACACTAAAAGAGAATATATATATGAAAGATAACCATTTGTCATGACAGAAATCTTAACAAACTTAAGCGCGGATCTTATTAACTCTCTACAAACTGATCATGCATGTTGTTATGACTGCTATAATCGTATACAAAATAAACAACATGTTTCGTTCAACAATGAAAGATCTAAAAAAAATAGGTAACAAAGGTTGATTCCATATAAAACAGAGGACAAATCCTCCTTCTACTTGCAATGGATAAAAAAAGATAACTTACAAAGCGTTTTTTTCTGGTTTGCTGAGAAAAATCTGGAGAAAAAAAGATTTTGATAGGAGACGGTAGAGATTCCACTTTATAGAGAGACTAAAAAAGAGCTTTCTAGAGATGCAACTCTTCATTTAATAACCTATATTTTTTTGTCGAAATTAAATGTATTTGCCATTATTTTTGCACTTTACCAATATTAAAGCTTTAAATATTTTTAAACTTTTGACTGATAAAATCTAGCATATTATGTGAATCTATGCCATATATATTGTTTTCCAATATATGTTCCTGGTATTATGGAAACATTATTGATATCGAAAGATTAGTCTCATCTTGTGAAAATCTACATTTATCTCTTATGTGTGATTTCTTATGTATGATATTTTGAAAATGAGATTTCATATCCAAAATCGTAACAATCTGACTAATGACAAATTATATAATATATTATGTGATAGATTTGTATATAGAATTTGTATGTGATAGATTTGTATATGGAATTTGTATGTGAAATTTGATTGGATGGAGCCAAAGCCCATAGTATGTGAAATTTTATTGGATAGAGCCAAATCCCATAGTATGTAAAATTTGAAATATTTACATTTCACATACAAATTCCATATACAAATATAACATGAAAAATCACAATACAAAATAGTGTAAAATTTGAAATATTTAAAATAGTATTATAACAAAAGCCTTATCCTATTTAAACAATCCACTGCATAGATACTTTCAAAAGAATATTATTAAACTATCCTATTATTATATTTGATTTTTGCATGTAGCACAATAATCAAAAACAATGATTATCTGGCATGGATAAACTCAATAAATATACGAAATATTTTGGTGCCAAAATCTTCTCATTATAACATGACCAAAATGTCAAATCATTACGTCTTGGAAAGAACATCATTGAAGTATAAACCATAAAAGAAGCGTTTTGGAAGTTGAGATATTTGTCAATCATATGAGAAGTACATTTCGGAAATGTAAAAAAAAATCTTAACAAACATATATTATAAAATTAAGATAACTAAGTAAGAAAAAGCTACTAGTTTAAAAATTAGATAGTTGTTTAATATCGAGAAAATAAATATTACGTATCTAATCATTAAACTTCTAAATACATTTGAATCTATACTAAACATAACTAAAACCATTATTTTAAAGAAAAATAATCCTAAAACACCATAAATATGAGTAAATCAAGCAAAAAATAAAGTAATAAGAGTAAATCAAGCAATAATAAATATTAATAATAAAGTCTTTAATAAAAAAATCGGTTGAAACAACCGGTATATAATGTTCAAATTAAAAAAAAAGATTTAAAATAAACTTAAAACATTAACTTCGAGATTGGGATATGTTAGATGTCCAGTCATACATCATTGGTTCACCCAGCTTGAACCAATCTATAGTAGGAACCTGAACATCTTCAAGTTTGGATTCGGCAAGGACCAGTTCGAACTCTGTTTTCTTCTTTTCATGGTACATGGATAAAAGAGCTTCACATTCTTCAAGGAAATCAAGTTTCGCCTCAAAGCGAACCTTATTGAGTTCGACCTAGTGCCTTGCCTAAATAGCTATCCTCTGGTCACGATACATCACCATCATAGCCATGTAATGCTTCATGGTCTCGAACTTACCCCTCTGGTAAGCCTCCTTCACCGTTTCTTCTTTTTCCTCAATGAGTTGACCTTTCATTTTGAGATCCTTGTTACCTGCCATTAAGATACTTCTCAATGTTCAGAAACAAAAAATTAATTTTAGAAAATAAATATAACAGATAAGGAAATATAATAAACCGTAAGATATAACATAAATTAATTATGAATATTTTTAATCCCAAATTTATTTCCTCTAACTTTAAAACTGTTAATACAATATTCATAGAATGAAAAACAAAACAGTAAATGAAAATCTAACCTTAGACTGCCAGTATTCAATAAAAAATGATTTGTAACCTAGAGACGGTTTACAATTCCAGGCATAACAGATCTAACAACAGAAAGCATGTCTTATATGCTTTAGGATGAAAAGAACAAAGAAACATTCCATAAATATTTTAGGAAACAAAAATGGAAATATAGTAAATCCTAAATATTTATTATGTAGATGTAAGATCTAAGATAAATGCATGTAAAATATATATAAACACCAAAATATATTCTATAGTTAGATCTACAAAATTTAACAGGATTTATAAAATATTCAGACAATGAAAATGATAGTATAACCCTAGAATGACAATATACAATAAACTATGAACAAAGAACCTTTTATGACAGTTTATTCTAGGCAGATGATTCGAAACAGACTAAGATAGAACATATCTAAGAACAGAACTACATCTCTTAACGAACAAAGAATAGAAAGAACAATGAAAGAAAATCGTACCGTTTTCAGATGAGAGAGAGAACAATGAAGAGATATTATGGTTATTGTAGTCAATCGAAGAGTCTTATATAGATAAGAACTAAACTAAACATTAGTAGGTTTCAAGGCTTAACATAAATAGGTAATCTGACTAATAGCCCATTAGATATTAATAATTAAGAAGCCCAATATAATTGGATCAAAAATTGGCATCTATTTTTGAAATGGATATGATATAAAATTATATGATTCGATGGAATACATGATTCTATTCATTATGAGATTTTTTTTTAGATATAAAGTCAAATGATTTGGTAGTTAAATTGTATAGATTTGGCTGCATGATATCATATTCAGTTAATAATATAATATAGACTTTTGAAAACAAAAGTTAAACTAAATTTTAGAGATCAAATTCCTGAACTGGAAATGCATTCTAAAGTAGATCAAATATAAAAATGAAAACAACATTATTGAAAAAATCAGAGATTCTGTAAGATCTCTTTGTAAACGACATTCAATGTTTGTCTTTGAGGCTTCCCTTCATCGTCCACAATTAAAATCTTCAACCCTTTTTTGGATGTAACTCTTGAAATAGCCACATATAATTGGCCATGAGAAAAAACAAGCCTTGGTAGGTAGATGCCCACTTCTGATAGAGATTGTCCCTGACTCTTATTGATTGTAATAGCAAACGCAACAGAAATGGGAAGTTGCCTCCTTCTCATCTTGAAAGGTAACTTCTTGTCAGAAGGGGTAATAGCAAGACTAGGAATAAAAACTACTCGACCAACCTTATCCTTATCTCCTGTAATAACTTTTGCCTTTATATTGTTAGGGTACATCTCTGTAATCAGAAGTCGCGTCCCATTCGTTAATTCGCCAATGGGATCTATGTTTCTGAGCAACATAATAGGACAACCAATATTTAAGCGAAGACTATGGTTTGGAAAACCTGAGAGTTTGATGGTATTTAAGAAATCTGGAGTAAGAGCTTGATCGTTAACTGAAAATTTATCTGAAGCATCTATCGTATCAGAACTTAAGAAGATCATTTCCTCACCTGAAATATTTATAAAAAACTATTATGTTAACTTGATATATGAATGTATAATAATAAAGTAATATTGATAACATAAACAAATAACTAACCATCGAGTTTATCCAACATGTGTTGATTAATCTTCTCGACATCCTGGTTAGTTGGACATAGTATTGCTCTCTCTTGGAAAAACTTAGGCTCTTTATTCTGCTGTAAAGAAACAACATCACCATACACAACTTGGCTTATAGACTCAATAGGATCTTCTGCATCAAGAATAAGAAGCTCTTCAGGAATATCAATTAGAGCCTCGCCATCATTGTTGTCACCTATATTTCCATCTCCAACATCTAATATCTACTTTGAAAACTCTTCCAAATCTCTAGCTTCTTCAAGAGATAAATCGTTAGACATCAACCTCATATTTTTTGTCAGCTTCAACACTCTGATATGCTTCCAAAGATAAGAAGAATTTAAAGATGCCAAAACAATTTCAGCTCTTCCAGCTCCATGAATTACAAGCAAAACCTGTCTAAAATCTCTCCCTAAGACAACAACTTTACCACCAAAAGGTAAATTGTCATTATTCCCAATAATGTTAGCCATACTCCTATCCAATGATTCAAAACAATGCTCGCCTATCATTGGGGCTTCGTCCCAATTAATCAGAGAAGCTGCTTTAATCAAATTCGCTTGGTATGTTCCGTGAGTTAGTGTGCAAGTAGAAAACTCATCTGAAATATGTGGTATCCCAAATTTAGAATGTGCTGTCCTTCCCCCTGGTAGTAGCAAAGAAGCAGTCCCACTTGATGCAACGTTCAAACAGATTTCTCCTCTGTATCTAATAGCAGCAGATAACAATCTCCACAAGAATGTTTTTCCAGTTCCACCAAACCCATAGACAAAAAATACACCTCCTTTCTTTTCTAGGACAACACTAAGAACTTCATCATATATCTTTCTCTGCTCGTCCGTCATTTTTTCAAAATCAAGATCATGATCAGCTTTTAACTGCTCTTTGTCATATCCAAGCTCGTCCATAATCAAAACATTCTCCTAGAGTGCAAAATCAGCTATTGGCTTTGGCATAGATTCCCATGCCTCTAAAGAAGTACCATTCCTCTTCAAAATCTTCTCAATCTCGTGAAGAGTTAGTTGTTTTATCTCCTCTTCACTCAAATATAAATCTACAAAACTTTAATGCCTCTGATTAATATTGTGTATACGGGACAAAAATTATTAGAGTGTAATATTGGAGAGTAAACATACCTGGTCTATTTAATAGCTTTGTTCGATGATACTCAATATCTTCAGATAATAATTCCCAAACGTTTTCCCAAACAACTTCTGGCTTCGAAAGACTATCAGACATGAGCATGATCACAAAACATTGACGCATATATGACGCCGAGCCTGAAAAACTTGTCCTCACAGTAATATCAATGTATTCCTGGTCGTCTTCTAATAAACCTCGAGCAAAGCATGCCTCTTTGTAAGACGAATACTCAATGTTGTTAAACATTCTAATATCCTCGTAACATGTACAACCTCGTACAATATTCAAGAGGACACGCATATAAAACGCTTGTTTAATTTTTCTTGGGGCGTGGTTGATTTTACCAATACTGAATCCTCTTTTTCTATCAGTAAACTTGCATTGTTTTTTATTCCAGATAAACCAAATAGGAATTTCAGCTAGAGTGAGTGTCCGAGCAAAAGCGTTTACCTTGTTTAATTCAAACCAGCCCAAAAACATGGTATCTTCAATCAGAACACGGTTTGTAATCTCTTCATATGTGTCATCATATTTGAAAACAATAATCTGTTTTCCATGTAAATGAAACTGAATTCTCTCAACTGATACGGAACGATCGTGTATAGAGAACTTAAAAATTCTCCAAGAACCTTCAGATGCTGATACATATCTGCATAATAAATACATTTATCAAAAACGAAAACTATGTATACGAAAATAACTCATATAGATTAATATACTCATATAACTATTAGACAAATACCTGCAGTTGAAGAAGTCTTTGATTTCGTTTTTCTTCTCCTCCGTTGAAGCAGGTTCAGTAGAGACATTCTCAACATTCTTCGTTTTTTTTTGGTAATCTTCTCTCTACTTTCAATAGCTACAGTACACCGATCCCGACCTTTATTAATATACTTAAATAAGTACTTAATAGAGCCAGTCTGGTTACACCATTCAACATTATGTGAGCTCTATACCGAAGTAAGAGTTTCTTGTTATAAGGAATGACATATGTATTGTCACATTTAAAGCCATTTTTCTCAACGAATTGATCAGACTGTTCTCTTCTTCGGTAGACAGTAAATCCTTCTCTGTTAACTGTTGTCTTCTCAGCAAACGCTTTAGGATAGAGCTTAGAACATTTACCATTCTCCATGCAAGAAGAATTAATGTTGACAGCTCCACAAGGACCATGAATCATCATATCTTTAACAACTTGGTATAGGTCAGGTTCCTTCTCTTTATCAGGAATTTCAGCTGAGATGATATTTTCGATATCTTCGGTTTTAGGAAACTTAGAGCCAGGTGCCATAAACAATAGAATGTGAGCATGAGGGAGACCACGTTTCTGGAATTCAATGGTATACATAGCTGCATTAGAAAGAAACAGGAAAGTTAAAATAATATCTTGGAAAATTAGCAAGAAGAAATGATCATATATAAAAATAATCACATGCCACAGTTTTTCCGAAGAGCTCTTTGTTTGTTAAATCAATCATCAGGGATTCAAGTTTTATTTTGAAAATCCTACAAAGTATATCAGGTCTATCATCTGCGGTCAACTTGTGTGCCTGTAAATACCTGGTAATTTCAGGCCACTTAGGATTGCAAGTAAAGGTTATGAATAGATCAGGAAAACCAAAATGTTTGCAGATCGCCATAGCATCCAAATACATATTCTTCATGTATTTTGGTCTTCCAGTAAATGAAGCTGGCAATAGAAAACGACTTCCCTGGTCGTGCATATCACTTCTCCCATCATTCTCAGCTTGTTGAATAGAGTCAAAAGAATCTGATCTTAGACTCTTCTGGTTCATTCGCAGATAACGAAGTCTGTTAGACTCTATTGTAGTGTAGGAATCCACTAAGAATTGCTGGAACAACCTCTTAGAATGAAGAAGAGTATGACTCTCTCCCTCCCTTTCATGAAGCCGGAAAGCGTACCATTGCCTCATACTAATATTCTACCTCTTATGCTTTGAAGTAGCTGCAGTTGTTTTTTTATTAATACCGAGTCTGAAGCCATCTTCTCCATATGTAAAAATAAGAGGGTAA